TCCGCAGCACAGAGTTTGCTTGTCCCTCTCCCTCTGCTCCTCCCCTTGCTCGTGCTCTCTTAAATAAATAAATAAAATCTTAAAAAAAAAAAAAGATTGTTAAAAAAGACACAGCAGGGACACCTGGGTGGCTCAATCAGTTAAGTGTCTGACTTTTGACTTTGGCTCAGGGTTGTGAGATTGAACCCCACGCTTGGGATTCTCTCTCTTCCTCTTCCTGTGCCCCATACCCACCCATTTGTGCATGTACACTCTCTCTCTCACACACACACACAAAAAGACACTACAAGCCCCAAATGGAGTCACCTGTGCTTGGCCCATGTCAGCAAACCAAGACTTAATACCTAACCTAACTGCAGTTTCATCTTCCCAGGAATGTAACTTTTAACCAGTCAACATGGAATTACCTGGTCAGGACTAATGAGATAATCTACCTGATAAACCCCTTCCATTTCCCTTAGGACTGTGACCTTGTCTGAAATGATGTATTCTTTAGTAGTAACTTCCTTTTCCTGCCCCCTTTCTGCCAAACAAAACAAAACAAAAACCCCCCAAAAACAAAAACAAAAAAACCATTCCATTTTGTATAGCTCTTCAGAACTCCTTTCTGTTGCTAGATGGGATGCTGCTCAATTCATGAATCATTGAGCAATGCCAATTTGATCTTCACATTTACTCAGTTAAATGTTTTTTTGTTTAACAAGATAAACCTATAAAACTTCAAAAGGAAACAGGAGACTGTGACTTTGAGACAAAGAAGAGCATTACATAATGATAAGGGGGGTTCAATACAACAAGAGGCTATAACACTTGTAAATGTCTATGTACTCAACAGAGGAGCACCTAAATACACAAAACAAACATTAATAGACATAAAGAGAGAAACTGACAATAATATAATAATATTGGGAAACTTTAACACCCCACTTACACCAAAGGACAGATCAGACAGAAGGAGACAATGGCTCTGAACGACACATTAGACCACACAGGACTTAAGAGATACATATGAACATCCCATCCAAAGACAGCAGAATACACATTCTTTTCAAGTGCATATGGAATGTTCTCTAGGACAGATCACATGTTATGCCACAAAACAAGTCTCAATAAGTTTAGAAAGATTGAAATCATATCAAGTATCTTTTCTGACAATGATATAAAACTAGAAATTAATTATAAGGAAAAAACTGGAAAAAACCCACAAATAACGTGGAGGCTAAACAACATGCTACCGAAAAACCAATCTGTCAAATCAAAGAAGAAACAAAAAAAACACATGGAGACAAATGAAAATGTAAACATAATGAGCCAACGGGAAGCAGCAAAAGCAGTTCTAAGAGGCAAGTTTCTAGCAATAAGGGCCTACCTCAAGAAACAAGAAAAATCTCAAAATAATATAACCATAATACCTAAAGGAAACAGATAAAGAGCAAACAAAGCCCAAAGTTAGTAGGAAGAAGGAAATACAGATCAAAGCAAAAATAAATGAAATGGAGACTAAGAAAACAGAGAAAAGATTGATGAAACCATGTGGTGGTTCTTAAAAAAAAAAAGAAAAAAACAACAAACTGATAAAACTTTAGCCAGACTCATCAAGAAAAAAGAAAGAAGATTCAAATAAATAAAATCAGATGAAAGAAAAGTAACAACTGACACCACAGAAATACCAAAGATTAAGAGAGACTACTACAAGAAACCATATGCCAGTAAGTTAAGACAACCTGGAAGAAATGGATAAATTCCTAAAAACACAAACTTCTAAAACAAAATCTGGAAGAAATAAAAATCTGAACAGACTGATGACTTGTAATGAAACTGAATCAGTAATCAAAAAACCCTCAACCAACAAAAGTTCAGAACCAGATGGCTTCACAGGTGAATTCTACCAAACATTTATTTAAAAAAATTTTTTAAAGTTCTATTTATTTAAGTAATCTCTATACCCAATGTGGGGCTTGAATTCATGACCCTGAGATCAAGAGTCACGTGCTCCACTGACTGAGCCAGCTAGGTACCCCTAATTCTACCAAACGTTTGAAGAAGAGCTGATACCTATTATTGTCAAACTATTTCAGAAATTCAAAGAGGAAGAAAAGCTTCCAAATTCATTCAATGAGGACAGTATTACCTTGCTACCAAATCCAGACAAAGACACCACAAAACAAGTAACTACAGGTCCATGTTATCCCTGATGAACACAGATGCAAAAATCCTCAACAAAATATTAGCAAACTGAATTAACAATTTGTTAAAAGGATTATTCACCATGATGAAGTGGGATTTATTCCAGGGATGCAAGGATAGTTCAATATCTGCAAGTCAATCAACATGATATACCACATTAACAAAATAAAGGATAAAAACCACATGATCCTCTCAATAATTGCAGAAAAAGCATTTGACAAAATTCAGCATCCATTCATGATAAAAACTCCCAACAAACTGGGTTTAGAGGGAACATATCTCAACATAATAAAGGCCACAAACCCATAGTTAATATCCTACTCAATGGTGAAAAACTGAAAGCTTTCACTCTAAGATCAAAAACAAGACAAAGATGTCCCAACTTTTATTAAAGATTTTATTTGTCAGAGAGACAGAGAGAGAGAGCGCACAAGCATGGGGAGCGGCAAGCAGAGGGAGAAGCAGGCTCCCCGTTGAGCAAGGAGCCTGACATGGGACTCAATCCCGGGACCCCGGGATCATGACCCAAGCCAAAGGCAGACACCCAACCAACCGAGCCACCCAGGTGTCCCACTCCAACTTTTATTCAACACAGTACTGGAAGTCCTAGCTTTAGCAATCAGACAAGAAAAGGAGATCAAAGGCATCCAAATTAGTAAGGCAGAAATAAAACATTATTTGCAGATGGCATGATACTATATATAGAAAACCCTAAAGGCTACCAAAAAACTATTAGAACAAATAAATTCAGTAAAGTCGTGAGCACAAAATTAATACAGGGAAATCTGTCACATTCTATACACTAATAATGAAGTGGCAGAAAGGAAAATTAAGAAAAAATCCCACTGGGGTGCCTGGGTGGCTCAGTCAGCTAAACCTCTGCCTTTGGCTCAAGTCATGATCCCAGGGTCCTGGGATCAAACCTCATGTCAGACTCCCTGCTCAGTGAGGAGTCTGCTTCTCCCTCTGCCTCTGCTCCCGCTCTCTCTCTCTCTCAAATAAATGGATAAAATCTTAAAAAAAAACAAAAAACACTAATTTGAAAAGATATATCCACCTCCATGTTTGCTGCATCATTATTTACAATAGCCAAGATATGAAAGTGACCTAAGTGTCCACCAATAGATGAAAGGATAAAGAAGAGGTGGTATATATACACAATGGAATATTACTCAGCCATAGAAAAGAATGAAATCTTGCAATTTGTGACAACATGGATGGAGCCAGAGAGTATATGCTAAGCAAAATAAGTCAGAGAGAAACAAATATCGTATGATTTCACTCATGTGGAACTTAAGAAACAAAACAAATGAACAAAGGAGAAAAAAAAGAGAGACAAACCAAGAAACAAACTCTTAACTACAGAGAACAAACTGATGGTCACCAGAAGGGAGGTGGGTGGGGGATGGGAGGTCACAGGGATGGGGATTAAGGAGTATACTTGCTGTGATGAGCACTGGGTATTATATGAAGTGTTGAATCACTACATTGTACACCTGAAACTAACCTAATACTGTAAGTTATTAGTTACAGTATATAGTATATATACTATATAGTATAGTATATAATTAAAACTATACTGGAATTAAAATAAAAACCTTAAAAAAAAAAGATGTGATGCGCATGCATGTGCGCATGCACACAAAGACACTGGAATCTTACTCAGCCTTAAAAAAAGAATGAGATCCTGTCATTTGCGACAACATGGATAACCTAGAGGGTATTATGCAAAGTGAAATAAGTCAGAGAGAGAAAGAGAAATAAGTCAGAGAAACACTAATACCATACGATTTCACTTATATGTGGAATCTAAAAAACAAAAGAACAAACCAACTAGAAACAGATTCATAAATACAAAGAACTAGTGGTTGCCAGAGGGGAGGGGATTGGGGGATAAGCAAAATAGGTGAGGGGATTAAGAGGTACAAACTTCCAGTCATAAACAAACAAGTCATGAAGATGAAAACTACTGCACAGGGAATATAGTCAATAATACTGTAATAATGTTGTATGGTGAGACGGTAACTACACTTATCATGATGAGCACCGCATAACGGATAGAATTGTTGAATCACTATGTTGTACAACACTGGAAACTAATATAACGTTGTATATGTAACAAGACTTTAATAATAAAAATAAAATAAAATAAGTTAACCATACACTTTACACATGACCTAGCAATTTCATTCCTAGATATTTACTGAATAGAAATGAAAACGTATGTCCACAAAAGGACGCAGACTCAAAGTTCAGGAGCCAGGCTAAGCATTATTCTTAATAGCCCCAAACTAGAAGCAACTGAATAAACCATCAAGTGGTGAATGGATCTCCATACAAATTAATTCTGGTCCATAATAAGAAGGAACAAGTGACTGATACATACCAATAAGGACGAATCTCAGCAGCACTGTGTTAACTGAAAGAACCCTAATACAAAAGACTGCATACTGGACCATTCAACTAATATGAAATTACAGAAAAATCAAAACTAGAGTGATAGAAAGCAAATCAGTGGTTGCCAGGAGCTGGAGCATCAGGGCAGAAACTGATTCTAAAGGGTCACAGAAGAACTCTTCCAGATGATGGAAATGTTCTATATGGTAATTGTGGTGCTGGTTACACTAATGTATACATTTGTCAGAATTCTTGTTTTGTACACCCAAATTTGGTGAATTCTACTGTAGGTAAATGTACCCCAATAAAGTTTATAAAAAAAGAAAAAAGACTTTACTCCCACATCAGTACCAAAACCAGCACACAGTGAGCTCCTGGCAACAGAGCTGGAAGAACTCATCACTCTGATCCACTACCTGACGCCGCAGAGCCCATTGCAGATGGCGACTCCTCGTATAGTAATGCCCTGGACAGTTCGCTGGCAGTAACACGACAACTCTTCTTCCCACTATTGCCCGGGACATACTGCAGAAAGTAAGGGCATAAGAAAAGATTGTAACCTCTCAAGCATCATATTACAAAATAACCGGCAGATCTTCACCTTCACATGTTAAACAGAATAAAGTGCATACATAAGGGACAGGTCAAACAGTTTAGCCTGTCCCCAAGAATGTGATTTTGACCTTTCTATGTAATATTTCCTTTCTATGTAATATTAAAGATACTGCTGGTTTCTGAGCACCTACTACACACCAGGCACCATACAGTTGTATGTTTTTTTGTTTTGTCATTCCAAAAATATATACTGAACGTTTTGTAAGTTCTAAGCACTATTCCCAAAACTTAGGAATAGTGAACAAAACAGAGGTCCAGCTATCCTGAGCTTACATTGCATGGGAAGGATTATAGGAATATTACTTCATTTAATCCTCAGAATAAGCCATCAAGGATTAATCTCTTCATTTTTCAAGTGAGGAACAAAGAAGGAAGGCTGACTGATTTGGTTCAGCTAACATGCCAAACAAGGGCCAGAGTGTCTGCATTCCTGTCTTGTTCCACAGCCCGGCTTTGCTCACTGGGATACACTGCCTTGCACATTTCTAGCAAGTGCACTAATATCAGGCTTTGAAATTTCAGCATATTCTCTTGTTTTGGATCATCAGATTGTGAACATTTGTCAAAAAAGGGTATTATGCCTTGAAGGGAAGACTGAAGAAAAACCGTAAAGATTCACACTTGTCTTGAATCCTATACCTAAATAGAGAAACATCTTGTTCACCAAAGTTTAACTGGACACATACCTCTGAGAATGATTTTTAGGTAAAGAGATGAAAAGTTAAAGGAAAATAACCATGCAGTTTTTGGTTTTGAAAATGATGTGCGTAAGTGTGGAACTAGTTGCTTACTTTACTGAGCAGTAATGAGCAGAAAGTGGCTCCCTCCCTGCCCTCCGTCCATACCTGGTATCCCTCAACTGTACCTGCAAGAGCGCACTCACTCCATTCAGGTCTTGTCAGTATGGTTTACTCCTGCCTTACCACACCGTAACCCCAGTTGTAAGTAAGACAATATATTTTACAGGCAACAGATATGTTAAGTTTAATGTCTGGATATCAATTTTTTTAAATTTTATTTCTTTATTTCAGAGAGAGACTAAACATGTGTGCATGTGAGCAGGGGTAAGGGCAGGTAGATAGAGTGCATATTTCTGGAAAACAAAGCTGCCTCAACCCCAGCTGTGGTGCCGATTACCCTCTAGGCCTTCAGTGTTGAGCCCCAGGGCAAGAACCTTAATTTTAATGAGGACCCACATTTATGTTCTCGCTCACGTGCTGGAGGTGGGATCACTTACATACTTAGCTTCCGGGCAAATATCCCTTCTCATTTGATCTGAAGATTCACAGGATCTGAGCATGTCTGCTTGCAGTAAGTTTAGCTGTAGTGGTGAGCTGCTCCTTGAGTTAACGCAGGGGTGCTCTCCACATGGCGTCTCCCGTTTTCCCTCTGCCCACCTCTGGCTGAAGACAGAGGATGGCGGCTCCAGGTGTGGAGTCACCGCGGATACTGAGGGCGGTGTTCCAGAAGAGCCCGCTGCTCCCAGGAACGCATACGGACAGAAGGATGGTGACAAGAGGGGACAGCCAGGGGGGTCAGGCAGGAAAATGGTCATCACAGTATCTAAGGAAGGAGAAGGGAGAGCAGGAAAAGACTGCAAGTCGTTCCATAAAGGGGGCTTAGGCAGCTGGTCAAGTGTGGTCAGGGACGCTGCGTGCTCTCTTCCCACAGAGGGCAGGGCCGGGGCGGGGCGGGGCAGGATGAGGTAAGGAGCCAGGCTGGGAACCATCAGGGCAGCCGGGAAGGACAGGCTGGAGGCCTGTGGAGAGGAGGCAAGGGAAGGGCCCCAGGGCTGCCTGTACTGGCCATCTCCTCCCAAGCGGGGACAGAAGGTGTCCTGAGCGCCCCTGCTGTTCCACAGTCCCCGCGGCTTCTTCCGCCTGTGCTTCTCCTTTGTGCAGCCAGCTGATTGGGCCTGCTTGGAAGCAGAGTCTCCTGAAAGCATAGAGAGGGAGGCATATTATGGAAAACTGGAACCAAAAAAGAAGACAGGAATGCCACTTGCAGGTAATTATAAGTAGATTAGGAAGGAATAGACACTTATCAATAGTAACCATGTCCACTCCTACTTACACTGAAAACATGAGCAAGATCCTGGATAAAAGCTGTTGTTGTAAAATAAACTTATTTCAGTATCTCTCAATCACTTGCTTATAAAATCAGCTTCTCGGATCCAGGATCTAAGAAAGATCCCAGATAACAAAGTTGGTATGAATTTATTCTGTCAGCATCTCTCAGTTTCTTAGAAGCAAAACCCCTATTCCTTACTCCATACCTCCTAGTACTTACTTACACATATTTATAAAATTGATAAATGAAACAGTTTTTAAAATATAAGTACCTTGAACACACAAATGTTTAGCTTTGTTTCTGCTTTCTTGCTGAAGACAGGATCTGTAGGGTGATGAGAGGATCTTTTTCCGGAATTTATCAACATAATTCTGTTCCTCCTTCTGGGTGTGAGCTGACAGAACAGCCTTCGTGAGCCCTATGTGTTTAAATTCTTCTGAGGTTAGTGGAGCTGGGTGTGTGCCTGGGGTCCAGGGCTCACACGCTGGGGCAGCATCCTCTGCTGGAATCACTTCTGCTGAGGTAAGGAGACAGATTTTATCTTTTTATTAACATATAATGTATTATTGGTTTCAGAGGTACAGGTCTGTGATTCACCAGACTTTTATAATACCCAGTGCTCATTACATCACATGCCCTCCTTAATGTCCATCACCCAGTTACCCCCACCCCCCACCCCCTTCCCCTTCAGCAACCCTCAGTTTGTTTCCTATGATTAAGAGTCTCCTATGGTTTGTCTCCCTCTCTGATTTCAGTCTTGCTTTATTTTTTCCTCTCTTCCCCTATGATCCTCTGTTCTGTTTCTTAAATTCCACATATCAGTGAGATCATATGATAATTGTCTTTCTCTGATTGACTTATTTCACTTAGCATAATACCCTCTAGTTCCATCCACGTCGTTGCAAATGGCAAGTTTTTATTTTTTTGATGGCTGAGTAATAATCCATTATATATATATATACCACATCTTCTTTACCCATTTATCTGTCGATGGACATCTGGATTCCTTCCATAGTTTGGCTATTGTGGACACTGCTGTTATAAACATTGGGGTGCAGGTACCCCTTCGGATCACTACATTTGTATCTTTGGGGTAAATACCCAGTACTGCAATTGCTGGGTCATAGGGTAGCTCATTTTCAACTTTTTGTGGAGCTTCCATACTGTCTTCCAGAGTGGCTGCACCAGCCTGCATTTCCACCAATAGTGTAAGAGGGTTCCCCTTTCTCCACATCCTCACCAACATCTGTCCTTTCCTAACTTGTTCATTTTAGCCATTCTGACTGGTGTGAAGTGGTATCGCTTTGTGGTTTTGATTTGTATTTCCTTGATGCCAAGTGATGTAGAGCACTTTTTCATGTGTCTGTTGGCCATTTGGATGTCTTCTTTGGAGAAATGTCTATTCATATCTTCTGCCCATTTCTTGATTGGATTATTTGTTCTTTGGGTATTGAGTTTGAGAAGTTCTTTTTTTTTTTTTTAAAGGTTTTATTTATTTGAGAGAGCACAAGAGGGGGTAGGGTCAGAGGGAGAAGCAGACTCCCCACCGAGCAGGAAGCCCCGATATGCGACTCGATCCCGGGACTCCGGGATCATGACCTGAGCCAAAGGCAGTTGCTTAACCAACTGAGCCACCCAGGTGCCCGAGTTTGATAAGCCCTTTATCTGATATGTCATTTGCAAATATCTTCTCCCATTCTGTCAGCTGTCTTTGGGTTTTGTTTCCTTCACTGTGCAAAAGCTTTTATCCTGATGAAGTCCCATTAGTTCATTTTTGCCTTTGTTTCCCTTTGGAGATGTGTCTAGCAAGAAGTTGCTGTGGTCGAGGTCGAAGAGGCTGCTGCCTGTGTTCTCCTCTAGGATTCTGATGGATTCCTGTCTCATATTTAGGTCTTTCATCCATTTTGAGTCTATTTTTTGTGAATGGTGTAAGGAAATGGCCCAGTTTCATTCTTCTGCATGTGCCTGTCCAGTTTTCCCAACACCATTTGTTGAAAAGGCTGTCTTTTTTCCATTGGATATTCTTTCCTGCTTTGTTGAAGATTAGTTGACCATAGAGTTGACGGTCCATTTTTGGGTTCTCTACTCTGTTCCATTGATCGATGTGTCTATTTTTGTGCCTGTTCCATACTGTCTTGATGATGACAGCTTTGTAATAGAGCCTGAAGTCCAGAATTGTGATGCCGTCAGTTTTGGTTTTCTTTTTCAACATTCCTTTGGCTAATCGGGGTCTTTTTTGGTTCCATATAATTTTAGGATAATTGCTTCCAGCTCTGTGAAAAAAGTTGATGGTATTTTGATAGGGATTGCACTGAACGTGCAGATTGCTCTAGGCAGCATAGACATTTTAACAATATTTGTTCTTCCAATCCATGAGCATGGAACGTTTTTCCATTTCTTCATGTCTTCCTCAATTTCTTTCCCGAGTGTTCTATAGTATTCTGAGCATAGATCCTTTGTCTCTTCAGTGAGGTTTATTTCTATGTATCTTCTTATGGTTTTGGGTGCAATTGTAAATGGGATTGACTCCTTAATTTCTCTTTCTTCTGTCTCAGTGTATAGAAATGCAACTGATTTCTGAATACAAATGCATTGATTTTATATCTTGCCTCTTTGCTGAATTCCTGTATGAGTTTTAGCAATTTTAGGGTGGAGTCTTTTGGGTTTTCCACATAGAGTATCATGTCATCTGAGAAGAGTGAGTTTGACTTCTTTGCTGATTCTGATGCCTTTTATTTCTTTTTGGTGTCTTGACTGCTGAGGCTAGGACTTCTAGTACTATGCTGAATAGCAGTGGTGATAGTGGACATCCCTGCCATGCTCCTGATCTTAGGGGAAAAGCTCTCAGTTTTTCCCCATTAAGAATGATATTTGCTGTGGGCTTTTCATATATGGCTTTTATGATATTGAGGTATGTTCCCTCTATCCTTACACTGTGAAGAGTTTTAATCAAGAAAGGATGCTGTACTTTGCCAAACGCTTTTTCTGCATCAATGGAGAGGATCTTATGGTTCTTGTCCTTTCTTTTATTGATGTAGTGCATCACGTTGATTGATTTGTGGATGCTGAACCACCCTTGCAGCCCAGGAATAAATCCCACTTGGTTGTGGTGAATAATCCTTTTAATATACTGTTGGATCCAATTGGCTAGTATTTTGGTGAGAATTTTTGCATCCATGTTCATCAGGGATATTGGTCTGTAATTCTCCTTTTTGGTGGGGTCTTTGTCCGGTTTTGGGATCAGGGTAATGCTGGCCTCACAGAAAGAGTTTGGAAGTTTTCCTTCCATTTCTATTTTTTGAAACAGCTTCAGAAGTATAGGTATTAATTCTTCTTTAAATGTTTGGTAGAATTCCCCTGGGAAGCCATCTGGCCCTGAGCTCTTGTTTGTTGGGAGAATTTTGATTACTGTTTCAATTTCCTTGCTGGTTATGGGTCTGTTCAGGTTTTCTATTTCTTCTTGTTTCTGTTTTGGTAGTTTGTACATCTCTAGGAAGGCATCCATTTCTTCCAGATTGCCTAATTTGTTGGCATATAGTTGCTCGTAATATTTTCTTATAATTGTTTGTATTTCTTTGGTGTTGGTTGTGATCTCTCCTCTTTCATTTGTGATTTTATTTATTTGGGTCCTTTCTTCTCTTTTCTTTTTGATAAGTCTGACTAGAGGTTTATTGATCTTATTCTTTCCAAGTACCAGCTCCTAGCTTTGTTGATTTGTTCTACTGTTCTCTTGGTTTCTATTTCATTGATTTCTGCTCTAATCTTTATTATTTCTTTTCTCCTGCTGGGTTGAGGCTTAATTTGCTGTTCTTTCTCCAGCTCCTTTAGGTGTAGGGTTAGGTTGTGTATTTGAGACCTTTCTTGTTTCTTGAGAAAGGCTTGTATTGCTATATACCTTCCCTCTTAGGACCACCTTTGCTGCATCCCAAAGATTCTGAACAGTTGTGTTTTCATTTTCATTGGTTTCCATGAATTCTTCTTTAATTTCCTGGTTGACCCATTCATGCTTCAGTAGGATACTCTTTAGCCTCCATGTATTTGAATTCTTTCCAAATTTCCTCTTGTGATTGAGTTCCAGTTTCAAAGCATTGTGGTCCAAAACTTGCAGGAAACGATCCCAATCTTTTGGTACCAGTTGAAGACCTGATTTGTGACCCAGTATGTGATCTATTCTGAATGCTCCATGTGCACTCAAGAAGAATGTGTATTCTGTTGCTTTGGGATGGAATGTTCTGAATATATCTGTGAAGTCCACCTGGTCCAGTGTGTCATTCAAAGTCCTTATTTCCTTGTTGATCTTCGATAGATTTCATCTTAATTGCTACCAATTATTTGCATTTATTTATTTTCACTAATTTAATTGCTTTTCAATAAATTCTTACAACCATTATTACAATAGCTGGAATATAAAACTTCATCAACCTAGCAAATAAATTGGTTTTACTTTTTCTGCCTTTCTTTATACTCTTTGTACACTTGTATATACATTGTACAGAGTTGTAACACTCAGTGTGTACATACATATTTATTAAAATCTTATTGTAAATATTTTATCTTCTTAGATTACTCCACATGTTTTTTATCTTTGAATTAATTTTACAAATCTGTAATATATTCATGGGGTTCAAAAATCAAAAAGCCTTGAAAAGGCAGTCAGTAAATCCTTCCCACTCCTGTCTACTATGTGCCTAGTTCTTGATTTTCCTCACAGAAAACCATTTCTTTCATTTTCTTATCAGTTCAGTTTATGCACCTATAAAGAAGCATGAATATAGATTTTTACCTCAGAGGCATGTAATATGTACACTATCTATAGTGTGTTTTCTTCACTTAATGGTGTCCCTTCTACCAGTACAATGGCAGCTGTCTTACACTTTTTCTGTATCATAGGGCTTCCATTTCATGTGTATACCACAATTTATTAAAGTAAACACCAGTAGACAGACTTTTAGTTGCTTCTAAACATTACTTCTCCCAAGTACAAGAGATTTCATGGTGGACACAGTGGTGGGCTTCCCCACAACATCCCTTCCACCTCTCCCCTCTGTGCAGTCTCCAGGCAGTGTGGGTTTGTGTGCCCCACTCCACTTCCAGAAGTGGACTCTAATTCGTTTAAATCAACACAGCACAGCCAAGATGGAGTAACAGGGACTGGATTTACCCTCCTGCCTGAACCAACTAAGAAAATGGACAAAACATATGAACCAATAAGCTCCAAAACACCGAACATCAGTGAACAAAAGAGTGACCCCTGAGGGAGGGAAAACAAACGAGGTGAGCCCAGGGGCTGCCCCAGCCTACTGCCTTGAGAGTTTCTGAGGTGCAGGGTGGGGAAACCAGCTGGAGCCTGTGAACCCCCCCAGCTGAAGAGGCAGAGCTGAAGAGTCTGGTCGGTGGCTAGAGTTTTCAGGGAAGAGTACTGGGGAGGAGAGCTGCAGAGAGTGGGCTCCACAGAGCCAAAGAGAACCCCCTGGAGTATTCACCAGTGCACTCACAGGAGGAGGAAGAGAAGAAACA